GAGAAAGAGGAGGGAGAGAGCAGGGGGTGGGGAACGAAGAGGAGGGGGCAGAGAGAAGAAGCAGGAAAAGCAGCGTACATACGTGAGCTCGAAGGCTTTCAGGAAACAGCAAGGTCATAGGGGTTTAATACTTGGAATGAGCATCAGCCTGGATTTAAAAAAAAAATAATAAAGGCTGACAAGTATTAGTGACCTTTTTGGGGAAAGCAGAATATTGAATCATGAGGATGGATCAAATTTAATATCCGCAAATTCCGAGCCCAGTCCAGCTGCTGTAACACTGTGTTCCTGGGGGAGGTTTCCGTGGGGAGGCACCTCCTGGCCAAGATTTTTGGAGGAGAGGACCCGTGGGACCAGCACCAAAGGCACGGTGTGAGACGCTGATGGCCCAGTGCACACACTCAGATGGACTGAGGGACAAGGGGGGACAGGAGACAGAGCGGTACATGCTTGGGACTCCCCGGTTACCCCTGGCAAAGGGTTACCAGCAGCTCTTTGAGCGGTGCTGGGAGGAACTGGGAGAGGGGAGAGTGTTGGTTATGTTTTATGGAAGGGCTGTGCCCGAGCTGGCAGGAGGATGGGGAAGGCTGGAAGGTTAATCTGAGCCACAAGTCGCATGCTGTGAAAAGAGAGCAAAAGCATCTGAATGGTACTGGGATGGAATTTAGAGCTGAATTTTTCAAGTGGGAACTCCCAGACAAGACTGGGAGTCTGGCTTTCCATGGGTGTGTTTTAACTGCCTGCAGGGTAAACAGACCATTTTGTTTCTCCTTCTGTGACAAGCTCGCCCCGAGGTTCTTGCACCAGCACAAACACCTTTAGGAATCTAAAACATAAGAAAGACAAAAAGAAAGAGACTGGATTAGAAAGAGGCTGGGGAAAACGGGGTCCCTTAAGAGTAGCACTGCCCGCAGGGGGTTAAAGGAAAATACAGCAACTGAGCATCCACCAGGGGTTGGGGAAGGCTCCTGAACTTGGCACTAAGAGGCATCAAGTGCCCCCAGCCCTTCCCTGCAGCCTGGGGATGAGCAGCACCAGAGGAGGGTGTAAAGCTCAGGGGCAGGACCCTGCCAGCACTTTCTCAGTGTGACAGAGACAACAAACAGCTTTTTAAATTTTCATTCTGCACAGAAGCTCTGCATCTGCTCAGTGACAGCTCCAGAGACCACGAGCGATACTGAAGAACAACAGCAAGAAGCTGAACCACAGAGAGTTCTGCAGACAAATCCAGACTAGATCTATTTTCCACAACAGGCTGCAAAAACCTTTCAATCTTAAGGAAAGTCCAGAACTAAACAGGTCCATGAATGCAGCCTGAGCCCCTAAACCCATCCCCTGTCACACTCCTGTGCCCACAGGCTTCTGGCCAAGGGGAAGTTTTCTCTGTGCCCAACTGAAGCTACAACCCAGAAGTGTGATTTTGCCGTATCCCTGGAAATACAGGATGAGCCCAAACTTCCCTCTCACTCGAGAGAGCAGGGGAACCTTCCACCTCCTTTGCACCCACTGCCACTAACGAAAAACACGCCAAATGACAGCGAAGAGAAGTTTTCACACAACCAATTACTTTTCCTGCAAAGGAATTGCATTTACAATTAGTGTGGGAAGGAGGTGAAAAGCAGCTCTGAGCCTTTTGCTCTGCACTAGTTAAGTTAAACTTAAATGAATTGCCATTTAAGAAGAAAGCAGCTCTGAGCCGTTTGCTCTCCATTAGTTAAACTTAAATGAATTGCCATTTAAGAAAAAAAAAACCTCACAGGAATGAGAAAATATAATGTTTATTAGAAGACGACACCACGGTACATCAAGCTATAGAGAGACTCCTGACAGATGACGATTATTTAAAAAATAATAGAAACAAAACAACCACACTGGCCAGATTTAACAAACCTTAACACAAAAGGACAGTTTCTACGCGAGTCCAACCAGATGCAGGCAGCTGAGGAACCAAAGAGGGACTGGGAAGTTACCAAACCAACAGGTAGGTTAAGCAGAATAACAGCCTATAAAACCATTTATATTTATACATATATAAAAGGATAAAAACAATTCAAATTCAAGTAACTTTAGTTTTTAAGTTATGTTATATACAATTTTTTTTTTATACTGGGTGAACTAAGGGCAAGTATTTAACAGAAGGATTTTAAAAAGCCACAGTCCAGTTTATAATTACTGTTTCCTATATAATTTGGCAAGCATTAAATAATCAGATATATCCTAGATAAAAAGTGCATCAGCATGGTTAACTTTTACCTATTTCTTTATCTAAAGTCCAGGCTCTGCATGATGGTTACAGCACACAACCAGCAGAGCTGCAACCCTGGGAGTGGCAGAGCTGTCTGCAAGGATTTATTTGTGTAACTGGGGGGGAGGAGGAACAGCCCCACAGTGACAAAGGAGCTGAAATGCTGCTCAGCCCACGGCTCCACAATTTATTTATTTTTTTTTAATCAGGACATTTAATTTCACAAAACAGCCTCTATTACTGCACGGCACCCAAACAGCCGGCCCTTCTGGTGGCATTTTTTTGTTGGGAGCAACGGAGAGTTTATCCAATGCTGGTTATTTCATGCAAATTCTTTAGCATATCAGACTATTTCACAACATCCCTCAGTGAAAGAACAGTTCTGTTCCCCAGAAGATGCTGAGGTACCATATTCTGTAACACAGTGTGGTCAGTCTTGAGCAAAAAGGCCCAGCTAATTCCTGCACTGGACAGTTGTCAGCACCTGATGGGCACAGAAAAGCCCTGCAAGAAGCTACACCCAGAGAGTTTTCTTCCTCAGCCCCAGCAGTCAGAGGTTGGCATAAGCCCCAAAACACAAGTTTACATCCAATAGATCCAATTCTTAGCCTGTAAGTTTGTTTTTTTAAGCATTTATTGTCGTTTCCTGCACGCATCACAAAGAGAATGAACCCTGTTGGCTCTCGCTATATTCAGAAGCAGAATAACAACTGAATTCACACAGTTGGGCCAGTGCTTTCAGTGTAGAGATGCACATTGAAATTTTGAGAGCTGGACTCAAACATGCATCAGCTGAGAGAAGGGAACCTAACGGAGTCTTTCATTTGTGGAGACAGGACATGTGCATTCATGTCTTCTAAAGAAAACCTTCCAAAATAGAGCTCTTAAAACAACCGTAGCGGCAAACCAGCAGAATAAAAGGTGAACAGGCCTATGCAAACCTACTCAGAGATTTTCTCAAGTGATTTGTACACATCTGGAAAGAAAAAAAAAAAAAGGCAAAACAAGATAGATATTACTCTTCTTTTTTTTGTGACAGGGTTTGCTAACACCCTCTGACCGGAGGTACCGCTGCAGACTTTACAAACAGCCCTCAGGCAGGGATTTGAGGGAGTTCTGAGTCCCAGCTCAGCTCACATGAAGCCCACAATGAGGATGGTGACCACAGCTCACCACTTACCTGTCCTACTCATCTTGGGGTTGGCAGCAGAGCCCACAGCACAGGCTTTTTACTGAAAAAGCTCAGTGGTTGCTAAGGGGCTTTTCACATCATATTTAGCAGCTGCATCTCTGGGGCACAGCCTGGGCAGGCAGGGACAACCCGGGCAGAGCCTCCAAGGGTCAGGGATGTGCCCGGAGCTGGTGTTAATGCTCCCACCCTTCTCATAACCCACCTTTAGAGGCACCAGCTGCTCCAGCTTCTTTCCAAAAACCAGGAAAGAACTACTAAAAGTTTGTTAAATACTTTAGTATTTACAGTGTTCTTTTCAGGAACATGGCAGCTTCTGTTTCAAGGATTTAATTAACTCACTTCTAATATATTAAAGATCAACTGAGAAATTTGCAGCTTGAAATAAAGTTTGTCTTCTAACCACAGCAGCACTTCGCCCACATCTTTATGCTGTGACTGTGCCATTTTATGGAAAGTTCTCTTTTAGCTTTCCTTTTTAACCAGAGAACCGAGAAATAAGAGGTAAATGTTATAGTTTGTTTACATCAGATATTCAGGTATGTTTGATTTTGGTCCTGAAGTCCAGGAAAATTAATGGAAAAAACTTTAAAGGACCTGAGAATCCTCCATCATTGCTGCAGAAGTGGCTGCAACTGTATCAGCCTTCACTGCCAGCACAGACTGCATTTTTTCCATCATCCAGCATCATCCTATAACTTACATAACACCATTAACACACTAATACAATTTTCTGGCTGGTATCACCATACTCCTGCAATATTCTCTCCAGAAGGGTGAATTAAAGACCAGTTCAGTCAGCAGGACCGTGTCAGGATTTCTCTCCCCACCCAGGGATAAGCTTTGCTTTGCTTCCCCCCCCCAACCTGCTGCTCTGCTCTGCCCAGGTGATTTGCTGTCAGGTTCTGCTGATGTGAACCAGGCTGCGTAGCCCAGGGCAGGGGAGCCACACTGCTTAATTAAGAGAGATTAGGATGCTGCACTGGCTTAGCTGTTTCAAGCAGCCTACGCTGTGGAGCAACACGTTTTCCAGCAGAGTAATGATGGGGCTTTCAACTGTGGCCACACAGAAAGCAGTCAAGTCTCCACAGGAGGGAACACAGAGGGGTAAGAGATGGGATCTCCCCATCAGTGCTTTCTGCCTTGTTCTGAGAATAAAGGAAAATGGACAATCCACGTTCCTCTTTCAAAGCTCAAGGGACTGAGGTTTTTTCACTCTTTTGCATCTCAACTGACCCTATATTTGCCAACACAAACATAAACCCACTGCATTATGGCAAAATAAAAGAAGACCCCAGACTTTCATCTGCAGCAGACAAGGCACCGCACTGTTTAATACTGAACCCAAGACAGTGAACTGCTCAAGTCCTAGTGTTTGTTTACAGAGACAGTCCTACTCCTCTCTCCCTGCTGTCCGTAAACCCCAATGAGAATGGTTCAGTTTTCTTTTAAATTGGATGAAGCAGCTTGTTTCACACCAACAACTCTGAAGTCTAGGAAACACGTCAATAATCTGAAGGATTAAGTGACTGAAACAACACAAATTATTTAACAGTGGACTTCAAGTTTTTTAGCATTTATTATCGTTTTCTGCATGCATCACAAAGAGAATGAACCCTGTTGGCTCTCGGTTATATTCAGAAGCAGAATAACAACTGAATTCACACAGTTGGGCCAGTGCTTTCAGTGTAGAGATGCACATTGAAATTTTGAGAGCTGGACTCAAACATGCATCAGCTGAGAGAAGGGAACCTAACGGAGTCTTTCATTTGTGGAGACAGGACATGTGCATTCATGTCTTCTAAAGAAAACCTTCCAAAATAGAGCTCTTAAAACAACCGTAGCGGCAAACCAGCAGAATAAAAGGTGAACAGGCCTATGCAAACCTACTCAGAGATTTTCTCAAGTGATTTGTACACATCTGGAAAGAAAAAAAAAAAAAGGCAAAACAAGATAGATATTACTCTTCTTTTTTTTGTGACAGGGTTTGCTAACACCCTCTGACCGGAGGTACCGCTGCAGACTTTACAAACAGCCCTCAGGCAGGGATTTGAGGGAGTTCTGAGTCCCAGCTCAGCTCACATGAAGCCCACAATGAGGATGGTGACCACAGCTCACCACTTACCTGTCCTACTCATCTTGGGGTCGGCAGCAGAGCCCACAGCACAGGTTTTTTTACTGAAAAAGCTCACTGGTTGCTAAGGGGCTTTTCACATCATATTTAGCAGCTGCATCTCTGGGGCACAGCCTGGGCAGGCAGGGACAACCCGGGCAGAGCCTCCAAGGGTCAGGGATGTGCCCGGAGCTGGTGTTAATGCTCCCACCCTTCTCATAACCCACCTTTAGAGGCACCAGCTGCTCCAGCTTCTTTCCAAAAAACCAGGAAAGAACTACTAAAAGTTTGTTAAATACTTCAGTATTTACAGTGTTCTTTTCAGGAACATGGCAGCTTCTGTTTCAAGGATCGAATAAACTCACTTCTTCTAATATATTAAAAATCAACTGAGAAATTTGCAGCTTGAAATAAATTAATTAACTCACTTCTAATATATTAAAGATCAACTGAGAAATTTGCAGCTTGAAATAAAGTTTGTCTTTTACCCAGAGTAGCACTTCGCCCACATCTTTATGCTGTGACTGTGCCATTTTATGGAAAGTTCTCTTTTAGCTTTCCTTTTTAACCAGAGAACCGAGAAATAAGAGGTAAATGTTATAGTTTGTTTTCTCTTAGCTTTAACCAGAGAATCAAGAAATAAGAGGTAAATGTTATAGTTTGTTTACATCAGATATTCAGGTATGTTTGATTTTGGTCCTGAAGTCCAGGAAAATTAATGGAAAAAACTTTAAAGGACCTGAGAATCCTCCATCATTGCTGCAGAAGTGGCTGCAACTGTATCAGCCTTCACTGCCAGCACAGACTGCATTTTTTCCATCATCCAGCATCATCCTATAACTTACATAACACCATTAACACACTAATACAATTTTCTGGCTGGTATCACCATACTCCTGCAATATTCTCTCCAGAAGGGTGAATTAAAGACCAGTTCAGTCAGCAGGACCGTGTCAGGATTTCTCTCCCCACCCAGGGATAAGCTTTGCTTTGCTTCCCCCCCCCAACCTGCTGCTCTGCTCTGCCCAGGTGATTTGCTGTCAGGTTCTGCTGATGTGAACCAGGCTGCGTAGCCCAGGGCAGGGGAGCCACACTGCTTAATTAAGAGAGATTAGGATGCTGCACTGGCTTAGCTGTTTCAAGCAGCCTACGCTGTGGAGCAACACGTTTTCCAGCAGAGTAATGATGGGGCTTTCAACTGTGGCCACACAGAAAGCAGTCAAGTCTCCACAGGAGGGAACACAGAGGGGTAAGAGATGGGATCTCCCCATCAGTGCTTTCTGCCTTGTTCTGAGAATAAAGGAAAATGGACAATCCACGTTCCTCTTTCAAAGCTCAAGGGACTGAGGTTTTTTCACTCTTTTGCATCTCAACTGACCCTATATTTGCCAACACAAACATAAACCCACTGCATTATGGCAAAATAAAAGAAGACCCCAGACTTTCATCTGCAGCAGACAAGGCACCGCACTGTTTAATACTGAACCCAAGACAGTGAACTGCTCAAGTCCTAGTGTTTGTTTACAGAGACAGTCCTACTCCTCTCTCCCTGCTGTCCGTAAACCCCAATGAGAATGGTTCAGTTTTCTTTTAAATTGGATGAAGCAGCTTGTTTCACACCAACAACTCTGAAGTCTAGGAAACACGTCAATAATCTGAAGGATTAAGTGACTGAAACAACACAAATTATTTAACAGTGGACTTCAAAAACATCCTGATTTGATTTTGACTAGAATCTTTTGATTTCTTGGTGTATTACACTACCAGGTGTTGATGGTGCCAGCATATATTCCAGCCAGGACCCAGTGCAGCACTGTTTGCTTACACAACACACCTATTTGTGAGGAGCTAAAAGCAACAAGGAAACAGAAGATTGCAGAGTCCAAGCTCTGATTGTCTCCATTGATCATGTGCGAGCAAAAGATGAAACCATTAGCTCTGGTCATCTGGAACAACAAATACATCCAAGAGACCATTTTCTGAAAGGTGGGAAAGAATAGAGCATCTTTCTTAATGTTTTACCAATTTCTCAAGGACCACAGAGTGCTGTGTAGAGAGGTTTTGGCAAGACCTCTCCTTCCTCTTCCACACACTCCAACTAAATAATGACCAGGTTTCAATCCAAAGGGCCCATATCAGGCTCTGAAAAGCTATCACTGAGACACAAACCAGCAGCCTAAATATTTCCTGTATAACTTTCCACTGAATCAGTCTGGGACAAAGAGCTGACTTGTGAACGTGTCTGAGATGCCACCTGGGGGTCTGAGGAGAGCCCACGTTACCCCAGATGGCTTTGTGTCCCCCGCACTGTCGGGCGTGCGACGGCAGCGACAGGGGAACCCGCGCTGTGGAGGAAAGGCTGGGTTTCCCCTCGTGTCACTGCCAACCACACTACCCTTCTCTGAGCAATAAAAAGCACATTTTGCAGTAGAGCAAGCCAGATTAGTCCACGTACGAAATAATGCACTTGGTGGCATTGTACAGACTTTTAAAAGGCTCCATCTGCAACACAGAGCAGTTGCAGCGTTGGGTATCTCTGTGAAAGCAAATAAAGTAATAATAATAGTATTAAATATAAGTCATAGCACCTTTGGCATTTTTGTCCAAATAGACTTCAACATACGACGTAGGGACATAGCCCTCCTCATCTTCATTCCTTCGGATTCGTGTCCACCCATCACCTTTGTCTTCTTCTATTACGTAGAGCATTTCTCCTTCTGCTACAGAAATTGTTCCTTCATTCTGACCTGAAAGACACAGTAAGAGGGAGTTAAGGCACAGCAGGAACCGCGGATGCAGCGGGGGGTGCTCAGGGCACACTGGGACAAGGTGCTGACGTGGCCTTCGCTGTGTCACCAGCAGCGTGAACAAGAACATGTGATTCTGGAAACAACAGTCTGTACATGAAGAACCAGATGAATGTGATCCTGACAGCAAAGTTTTGTTGTGGGTTTTTTTTTTTCCCTTGCAGAATCCGTGCATAATGGGAGACAAATCACTCTTAGTGCCTCTCTATAAAACAGAATCACGCCAGAGCCTCCCTCACCCTTTCTGTGTCTATTTAAGCACTGCAGGGGTTAAATGAAGATTTCCCACTTGTCCTTGGCATATCCACTAAAGAAAAGAACAATGAGAGTAAAGCTTGAGTGATACCTTCAAATGTATAGAGCGCTTTACATGTTCCTATGGTGGGTAGTGGTTCTTCATCATCAAATTCATCGTCAAAATCCGTGGCAGGTACTTTCATCTCAGTCTCCTGACTCTGCTCTTCCGTGTAACTGCCATCTGGGCTGCTCAAGAGAGGAAAATACACAGCAACTATAGCGACCAGTCTCAGGAGCAGAGAGGACCCCATTACTAGAGGTTTAAGGCAAGCTGGGCTGGAGCAGCTCAGCAATTCCATAGCATGCTCAGAAAGGGCTGTTACCACCAGCAGCTGTCTCAACCCGATGGGTGAGACGAGCCATTTTTCCCATCAAAAGCTGTAAAATGCACCTATCCCACCTTCACAGCAGTCAGTACAGGGGCTATTACATATTTCATTGTATTTAAAGTTGGGATCTTCCACGTGCTGAAAAAATCAGCACGTGGCACACTTCATGGAGTGCCTGCCACTGGTCTGCTCACAGGTTAGTTTTCTGAGTGCTGCAGAGCTTGTTTTCCCATTTAACACGCTAAGGAAAGCAGATCCAGTTCTGTGTGAGGAGGAGAGCTCTGTACAGATACTGTACCTCTCCCTGTCCTGGGCACAGCTGTTCACTGCTGAAGTGTTCTGGGCTTCGTACAGTCCGCTCTGCCGCCGAGCCTGCTCCGTCCGCGCGGGCAACCTGCCCTCCACCTCAGCTAGCCAGCCCTGCAGGGGGAACACAGCATCATGCATCACGCCTGCCTCAGCTCTCAAAAAGCTTTTATACACAGTGCTTTCACCATGCTGTGTCATGTTTGACACACAGACTACGGTACTAAAACCAGTTTGTAAACTTATTTAAATTTTCCTCTGGGTCAGAGGGAATAAATTCTCTCCTTTAAGTGTGTATTAGATCTATCGGTCTTGCCAAAAGCCACACGTACTGAAAACTTGATTCTTTTTTTGACACTGGGTGCTGAGAACACCATGGTCCACGAGCAGCAGTTAACAACAGCTCTTGGGAGCTGCTGCTGCTCCAGACACAATCAAGTCAAAAGCTGTGTTGTGGCAGCTTGAAACGGCAATCTCAGTCACTGCTGAGTGCAAGAGGACTAAAGCTGAGGAGAATGAAACACCCAGTGATTTTCAACTGGGTAAGAAAGCAATGGATAGTAAAGCCAACAACTGTAACAAACATCTAAAATTAATGGGTTGTTACCTATTTACGTACATAGTGTAATTTATAGAATGAAGTCTTTTCTCAGCCCTATAACCCTTCTCATGTAATTATAATGGCTTCATATATTGCAAATACTCCTTATGCTCTTCAGATTTTGTATCTCTAAGAAGCTTCAAGTTAGTGGCAGACTAACTCCTTAAAACATATTTTATCTGACAACTTCAGTCCTGCTGTTAGACTATAAATGGTGCTTTACATTTATGTTCCTCTGATTTTCCACAGACACCTGTAACATGACACTTAAAATTATCTAATTAATTAAGCACCTGGACCCCTCTGGGCAGTCCAGAGAGCACTACGTTTTCTCTAATCCACCACATAGCACAATTTGTTTTCTGTGGCAAATTAAACAGCAGGATTGTTGGTTGACAGTCAGGTAGCACTTACCCACACGTAGTAAGAAAATGCATCGATACATCTGGAAAAGCACTGAAGCATCTGCTTCAAACTGAGCATATGCTGAGCTACATTTTACTGAAATGTCTCTTCCCATACCTCAAATTTCTGAACTTCTAATCGTAACTTTTCAATGTTCTGGCCAAGTTCTGCTAATCTGTGATCCACGCTCGCTGCATCTCCCATCTGTGGGTTCTTGATATACACATCTTTCATTTTCGTTAAGGCATCTCTGAGAGACAGAGGAAAAATAAAATATGTAAGTGTTAGTGTGGCTGGAGCAAATCCCTTTTTCTAAACGAGGGAAAATGAAATGATAATAAACCCCCTCTTCTTTACTCTGTGGATCAAACCCCATCGGTTATAGAGATAACTGAGAACATCCAGACAGGGGCTTTTGCCCTGTATAGAACCAGCCATCAAAAAAATAACAGTAAAATCCCTTGTCAGAAGAGAACTTACACTGTCAGAGATAGAAAAAAGCAAGTGACACCTTTACCTACAATGTGACACGACAGAGACATTGTGCACAAGCCAAACTCTTCAAGCCCCTGCATTAAAAGGAGCTCCTCGTGCACAGACAGCTGAGGGTTCTTTGAGTGAGGCAGGAGGAGCCTCCTCAATGGACTGTGAGGCTACAGGAGATGTGCTGTGTGGGTACAAGCACACAATACATTCAGACCAAGTAATTTGAGCTCCACGTGCCCTGCTTGAAGAGCCTTAGCAGAAAAACGATGGAATTCTTGGACAGTGGCCTTTTGCAAGGCAAAAGGAGGAATCTGGTATTGATTTGTAGCCTGGCACGTTCTTTAATTTGGTATTATGATTTCTACTTGCTAACTCTGGGGGGAAAAAAACCCAAAAAAATCTTGCAACCATTGCAATGAATGACACCTTCAACTTTCTAGATGAGTATCATCCCAGTTTTGGGGGAACAGAGGAACAGTTGCATCATTATTCTCCATCATGGGCTGAAATCCAGTTGAGAAACTGGGATAAAGAGCTGGATGTGAACATAATACTCTATTTTTATTATTATTAACCAGAAATTCTCACCCTGCCTGTTGCAGTTTGTCTTTTGCAACCCAAATTATTTGTAAGATATTTATTTCACACCGCTTAAAACGAAGCTAAATCCAGATGGTTTGCATTTGTCACAGCACAGCGACAGATGGACCTTTGGCCACACGATGTGACCCCCCATCCCAGGGAGTTACACAGCATTTTTACTAGACTCTTTCTGGGGGCTGTGATATCAAACACCTGGGGTTTCAGAGATGGTAATTTTATGGTACCACATCCATCGTAGCAGCCTCAAGGCCAAGGTTAATGTAGTCCATGCCTTCCTGAGCTCCCTCAGGAAAGGCTACGGAGCCCTCGCTGACAGCGGTGTCCTGCTTTTGACCCGAGTCCAGTTGAGACTGAACTTAAAGAAAAAAGTTCTCTGCATGATGAACATTTCAGAGCTCAGAAGGATGGACTTATGAGCTGATTTCCTGCATTGCTGGCACAGCTACTCAGCTTTTCTCTCAGCATTAGTTGGGGGGAGAAAGGTTAATATGAGTCCCACGAGTCAAGTTAACACTCTTTATATTTCAGAGTTTCCCACCAAACTCTTGACAATTGCAATCCTGTGCCTGCCTCTGCTTTGTGTGTACAGAAAATGGGAAAACGTGTGGGTGGCAAGGAAGTGGGACTGCTCTGTGGTTGAAGCCCTAAGGGACAATATTGCAAACATATGAGTCATGATTATTACTATTTTTTTTTAAACTCTTATTTAACTGCTGGTACTACTTCCTCAATCACATACTATCTTTATTTAAAATTACCTCGCTCTGCTCTGATTTCATATCAGATTTTTAACATTACGTTACCTCAGAATCAATACAGAGCAGAATGGAAAATCTGTATGAAGACTAATTTAAGCTACCACAGAGGGGAAAAAAAAAAAAAAAGCAAAGCTATGAGAAGTCATAAAACCATGTGCAGTTTTCCCTTCTTATTCACCATGTAAAATACAAGGAAAAAATGCTTGGGTTACCAGACAGATACCAGAGGACGTTACCATGCTCTTAACAACCTCTCTTGCTGGGATCTAACCATGCCCACCACACAGCAGTAGGTGCTCTGCTCAGTGCTGAGAGGTCTAGGATTGTATCTCTAACTGATACTCTATTTATATCCTGTTCTCTCCTAAAAAACACTCTCAGGAACAGACCACACCAAGAAACAAACTCGGTGTACCTAACAGTGATCTTTGGCTCACGATTAAACTGCTGTGCTCCTGGGAAAGCCCAAGAAAGCAGCTCCAGAAAGAAAACTGTCTCCAATTGCTTCACTTGTATCATTCCCATCCTTGTACTTGGCTCTTCTCATGTCACAATTCCAAAGACAGGAGATGTGTCACACTGAGGTGGGAGAATGGGAGGAAGACAAAGCCAGCTTTTGCCCCAGCTCTGATCAGCATCAGTCAAAATTCAATAACTTATAACAGAATCTGAGTTGTAGAAAGCCCTGCATCTCTGAGGTATATTTAGCCACACGTAACTTTTGCTGCTTCTTTCCCTGAAACAGTACTTTAAACCAAGAACCTTGTTCTCATTTGGTCTTTCTTATACATTGCTTCTGTTCTCCTATGTAAGGCTACCTATTTCAGTTTTCATTGGAGGGGTTAGATGTACCTTTGATCCAACTCCTTCTGAATGTCTTTGTTTAGTTCATCGACTTTTTGCTGAAGTTTCTTTCTTCTTTGCTCAGGTGGGAGATTGCTGAAGTCTTCTGGGCCTGCTCCCTGCAGAGTAGAATGGAGGAAGGAGGAAATAAAGAAAGGAAAAAAAAAAAAAAAAGAAAACAACAAAAATCAGAGCCTGCAAGGATCCTTCAGGATTGCATTTTGAAAAGAGCTCACAAAAATCTGTGCAAAATCACAATGGTCTGAAGCATTGTTATCGTTTGTGCTGAGAGTTCTCAGTCCCTGAATGGTCAGGAATCTGTAAGGCCTTGGAAACAATCCCAGGACCACATCCCAGTTCCCTACCACATGGCTAATGGGAGATCACCAACAAAAGAATGCCAGAACTCAACGGCAAAGCTGACTAATTATTTTTATCCATAATCAGATTTTATTGAACAGAATTCCATTCTCTTTTCTGCTTTCCTCCCCTCTGCTACAGACAGCATCCCCACACAGTTAGTTGTTCTCACTCCTGTCTCACAGTCACACTTCTCATGTACACCCCTAATTGCTGGCTTGTTCTGCGTGGTCTGAGTGTTAGTTCAATACAGCTAATTTATGCCAGGGCTCTCCTGAACACAGTAATGTAACAGAAGTGATTCTGCAATTTAGAGCCATGCTGCATGCTTTTCAGGATTCACATTCTAGGCCAAAGTCTCTACATTTTTCCTCTCTCACGTGTACTAGCATAAAAAACCAGGAGTTAGATCAAAGCTGTAGAATCAATCAATTTGAAATCACAACCAGACAAAACATTTGACCACAGTGGTTACCTTTGTGTGATTCTGCTTGAAAGCCCCTTTTCTGCTTCAAACTGCTGTGCCTCTTCTCGATTGCCTCAGTTTGACACAGCAGACAGATGACACATAAAATACATCCATACTATTATCTTCAAAGTACCACCTATTTTTCTCTTGCAAGAAGGCAAAGGGGACGGTTTGGGCGGGCTCTACCGACCCCAGCTCAATACTAATTGCACCATAAAGGAATGAGGTTCTTGTACATAATCTTTAACTTGTGCACGTTTTTCTTGTTTTGGTTTCTGCTCGTTCCACCTCCCATTTCTAAGGAGAGAGCTCGAGTAATGAGATTCAATGGCCCAGCAGCTACTGAAAGCTTGTGAGCAGAGCTGCAGTGCTAGTCTTACTAAAATGCCAAATCTCTCTCTCAGAAGAGTGTGATTTAGTGGAAACTCTGCCACAAAAGCTGCCCATTAGACCCTTTCAACTCTGCACTGAATGTGCTCCAAGACAGCGAGTTCTTTCTTCTGCATTCGCTGAACAAGCTGTTTGGGCAGAAAGTGTGTGGGTGTCAGGGGGACAGGGACAGCTACAGACAGGTCACCTTCTCCTCTGGCCCAGCCATTTCACATAACAGAAGGGGCAAACCTACTGAAATTGATTCTCAGTAAAAATAGCGTATGTGTCTAGTTAAGTCTTGATCATCTGTGTAATAATATGCTTAAAATTCCATTTCATGAGACACTGGGAAAGCAAATTTCAGCCAAAGGAAGGAAACAACTAAGTTACACACATTCTGAAGCTTTAACCCCATGAAGTCCCAGCAGTGCTTATGTTACTTGTTGCACATGGTACAGGAGAGTTCTATTTTAATTCATTCTTTAATGATAATATTTTGCTTGATAGTAACTCCCACATCACATTAGGCATGAGAGCGATTCAATGTCTGTTACAGATAATCTACACAATAAAGCCACAAGTGTCTTTTTAAGGCAAAGCATTTGGATGTAGCTTTTGTAAATAAAGAAGCAGTTACAAGACAGACCATATAACATATTCTTCTCACTTCTGAGCAGAAGAGACTGAAAATATCCCCGGTTTGACATTAGGAGATCGCAACAGATGTCGCAAAATGAATTTGGAAAAGCACCTTCTCTTTTTGATTCTTCAACTTCATTCAAAAACTCTAGGCCTGTAGTAAATTCAGTGTCTTTGCTCACAATGCTTCAGACCAAAGCTTGAGCGGTGCGTGGAAACGCGTGCCCCAGACCAGGAGGGGATGTCTCCCACACTTCACTCCATGCTCAATAATCTCCCATCGTAAAAGAAGCTACAGATCCTTCTCCAAAAGGAGGAATCAAGGAGCAATTTTTGCACATGCTGGGCACATTTCATGCTCTCAAGCAAAACAACGCCTGGGCTATCTGTGCTGTTTTTGCTGTACTGTCATAGGACCAGCAGAGCCGGTGCTCACTAGATTTCCTCGCATAAAGATACTGGGATTTAGGATGCAAATTGTCCCAAGATGAAGGACTATGAATAAAGAGGCCACGTTAGGACCAGTTTCTGGGTGGAAGCTATGTATGGGCAGAGTGTGAGGTTTATCAGCTCCAGTTTTGGCTCTCGTACAGCAAGGATTCAAGAGGACACGACAAACAAGTCGATTTCCTCTGCCTGAGGCACACACAGCTCTCAGCCCTCTCTGCACATCTTTCAAACTCACACAATTCTTGGGGAATGGCCAGTTCAGCTGCGTATTTTGGGTGGATTTATTCCTACATACAAAGCTCAGCTACACAACATTGTGACCAGGAAAACAACAAATGGAAAACCCTGGTAGAAATGTGTTGCATTGGACGGTGGGGCTTGGCAACAGCCAAACGAATGAGGTTTGCAAGCTGGAGACTTCCATCCTTCCTCAGCCTGCCACAGGTCTCCAGTGAGAACCAGTATTGCTGATGGAGCACAAGCAAGTCACTGTGTTGGCAGAGCAGCAGCAGGACCCAAAATTCCTAGAGCTACAGCAGGTAGCTGTCATGGCCTACGTGTTTCCTCCAAATAAGCTGCTACAAACAGAACAGGTCCACAATGACGTATCCAAGAATAATGTATGCATAGAGGAAAGAGAGCACCTAAAAGAGAGCACCACTGAGTGGTGGGGAGTAAGAAAACCTTCAAGCTAAGGCAGTTAAGGTGCTCCTGCAGACCCCCTGAAGCTCTCCAAAACTGCCATCAGTTGTTTGTGGCTCTGGCATGAAGTGGGTCAGCAAACCAGTCGTGTTCTCCTTGTGACTGGCCTCAGGAAGGGCAGAGGATGGAGACAAGGTGTCAGGAACACAGCGAGGTGTGGAGCATCTCAAGCACTACGGCACCTCATGTGTGAAGTTCAGCACATAATTTGCTTTCCCAAATATCTTCACCCCTTCCCTTTCCAACTCAGTAACGTGTTATCTTACCGTAGCTCAAGAAACCTTCCCAGCTGCATCCAAGATAGAATTTAGGATTCATATATATGTGTATCTTTCCATTTGTGAATTCAAATCAGACCAAGTTAACCTTGTTGGTTAAGGTTTACAGAATTGTAATTAATGTCATTATTAGTTATTCTGTAGGACTACATAGGGCTGTAAAATGTAGGTGATAACGGTGCAGATTTCCAGTAATACCTGGACATGGAAAGTAAACTTTGTAGCTACATTACACAAAAAGACATGCATTTCTCTCTGGAAAAGGTCCAGCAAACAGAACTTTGTTGTGCTGTTTTTTCTTTTTTTTTCCTTAAATGTTTTAAAGTGGCAGAATTACTCAATACTGGTTTTCTACATTTTCATAGCCCTACATTATAAATGTGAAAACTAAACTATATATTAGTCTTTAAATGTTTTAAAGTAGCAGAATTACTCAATACTGGTTTTCTACATTTTCATAGCCCTACATTATAAATGTGAAAACTAAACTATATATTAGAGTTAATTTTTTTTTAGCAGCTTATTAGAGAGACTGAATTCTGATCACCTCTATTAGACTCCAAACCTGTGTATTCAGAGTTATCTGATAAATATCAAAAAAGCAAACACAAAGAAGAAACAAATTTAACAGTTAATTTAAGTGTCATGTCATATGTGGCACAGTGCACATTAAAACACACACAGAAAATTGTGATTAAAACAGAGGACAGGCATGCTGTAAATGTGCTTACCAGCTTGAGAGAAAGCTTCGTGTAAAAATTGGAGAGATACGGGGTGGGGGGAGAAAGAGAAAAAAACAACAGTGCATCAGTAGAAGAGGAACTTTTTTTTTTTTTAAGACTGATCTTACAATAAAATGACACACATTCCCCTTGCTGTTGGAAGGCAAAATGGGTAACACTAACAGATCTGTGCAAAAGTTCACAAGATGAGCCAGGGTTATCAGTCAGCTGCCGTTTCCTCGCCAGAAAGAGAAATGGAAGAGTCTTGTACCTCTACACACGTGCTTTAGGGCTGCAGGTGAAGATCTGGCCTGGATGGCCTGATTTACAGCCCCCACAACAGCAGTGATTTTTCTCATTACAGTAACATCTCTGAAGTGGAAAAACCCTCAGAACTTGCAAGCGTATCCAAGTCACTTTAGATCAAAAATGTGCTGAAACACAGTCATGAGCATCAGCCCTTTTAGGCCAGGGTTTAAGAGAAGAGGGGTAACACCTGCCCAAACCCACTGAAGGGGCAGGGGACTGCCCTTGGTCTCCAGCTGCAAACGGCAGGGTGGGATCTCCAGCAATTCCCAGCCATTTCCTGGCTCTCAGGCCTACGTCCAAAAGCCAACATCCCTGAAACATCCCTCTTGATTGCACACAGTGCTGTCCGAGCAGTCACAAAGTCATTTCACGTTCTTCAACAATTCAAAAATAAATACTCAAGTCTCAAACCTACTCTGGCCGTGCAGTCAGGCAAGGTCAGGACCAAGGAGGAGGAAAAAAAAAACCTCTTCTCTTTCCACCAAATTGATTCTATGATAGCACGGCAAGACATTATTCAAGCTCCTTAAACGATATACATGATCTAATTCTCCAAAGATTACCACGTTTCCTGGTACAGAGCCAAAACATTATCTTTTTAGTTACTCTGGGAAAGTGAGAGACTCCAGTGTGTGCTTCAGGGGCCTCCAGAGCAGGACTTTGCCTCTGCCCTCCATCACCTGCACGTTCAGCTCTCGACAGCGCTGGAGGGTCTCACACACTGCCAGGGGAACAAACCAGCCCGGGAGGACAAAGTTACCAAAGCCTCTTCCAGTGGTGCAAGACGTTACAACAACTGCAATTCAGAAGTTTTTCCAAGAGACAGAGAGACCAACAGTGCTCCAGTGCTGTTCTGCTCGGTGCCAAGGAGCACCAGTTTGCTGCTGGTCAAGATATAAAGCCAGATGTTAAAGGGAGAATCAAAACTACACCCGGCCACCTCCTCCTCCAGTGACCCGCACTGTGCCTGTCCTTCCAGCTCTTCTGGGACAGTTGTGAAATGCTCAAACTATCAAAAAAAGTGTTTAAATGTACGTGCTCAGTTTTAAAAGACAGCTGAAAGGTAAAAAGCTGGAAAACACCTCTCACTGCAGGCACCGAGAGACCTCTGAACCCCTTCCCAGTCAAGAGTTCTCTCATTTTACTACCAACAGCTCCTGAATAGGATGCTCTCAAAAAATGCTCCAATTTTAGCAAAAGCACAGTATTTTAGGATTGCATTTAAAATAATGGTGGCTCCACATCTGTGATGTTTTTGACAGCATGACTTAAGGAACACACATTTTTCAAAAATAGCAATTACCATCAGTTACCAGAATTTGTACAGAAATACACACCAACCATTCAAGGAAAACATACGGCCTTGAGATAAATAGTGAAACACTCCATTCGAAGGGATGCATTCGGTGACCCCGCAGCAGCTGAAACTTCCCTCTGAGGTTCAGTCCATTAGGAAAAAAGGCATGATAATCATCACAGTGGATTCAAGAAATTCACTCGGCTACGAGGCCATTAAACCCAGCAAACGAACCCAATCCATTTGAGAGCTTAACGGTACAGGAAGGAGAAAGAACGAGCTGCTGAAGAAATTCAGCGTAGGCAGCTTTAGTTTGGGGAATTGTTTTAGCTCTCCTGTGAACTTTAGCATAGACGTGACCAGCACAGATTGAGATCCTTGTACATCGATACAGACAAGACTCATGGTGCGGGGTATTTACCTACGAAGCGCTCTAGAAAAGGCACAAATGTAGGCTACATGCGCTAGTTGCTAAACACTACTCACTCTAAAGGCACTACTCTACTGCAAAGAATCATCTGCATCAAGGCTATTTCTTTTGCTGTAAATCCAGCAAATTTGAAAAGGATTACAGACACCGTATAATGCCCAATTCTTATGCTGTTAAGTATGCCAAAAAGAGAGATCTTATTAATAGCATTTCCAAATCGTACATCAGGGATTGTTATAACCGGTACAAATAACAAAGCAGATCGTAGACTGGAAACAGCGAAATGCTGAAATAAGTCATAGTCAGTTTTCCATTCCATAATTTTACATGAGAGTGATTCAGTTTGTATAAACAAATATAAGCAGACTGAAGATAAATTTGCATTAAACACTAAATAACTACTTTTGCCCATTCTGTTGGGTTTTCACAGCTAGAAACTTGCTCAGAGCTCCTGGGAGAAGAGAGGCATTTTTTTCCCCCCCAAACAATCAAATAAATTACATTTCTTCATCATGAGCAAATCTGTTTCAAGCTGTCCATTTCAAAAAGTCTAGCAGGGAGAAAATGAAGAGCCTAAGGAGCCACAAGCTTCAATAACACATGAGAGAGCATGAAAGCAGCAAGTCCATGTGTTATTGGACAGTCACGGACACTAACCTCACTTACAGAAAACAGGGTTGAAATAAATCACTGGATTTCACACAACCAAGAGGTCGTTTTCTTTCTTAGTCGTCCCATAACAATCTCCCCATACTCTGCTTTATCCGGATATTATATTTAAAGGTCATATATCTTGATTCCACGAGTTATAATCAGTACAGAGAGTTCAGGGAAGCTTCAAAAAGCTCCACGGAGTGCTCCACGACCAGGCCCGGAACGTGTCACTGCACTGCTGTAAATCAGGGCTTAGCTCACGATGCTCAAAACTGCATTTATAAAATAATTTAGAATCAGCGTGTGGAACCTGTTTGTAGTCCTTCCTCTGAATTTCACAGGTCCAGCTACTTTAATTGTGCCAATTTCAGCATTTCTGAGACTAGCAGGCATATCTTTCTTGCACATAACCCAGTAAGCTGCAACTTTCCTCCCATCAAATTTTCTTTTTCTCTTTTTCCAAGCGCATTTCCACAGCACACTCTGAGGCTGTTGTAAGTGGGGTTAGCGACTGTGTAGCAACGGTATGGGCTGATCACACCATACACGGACTTACAACATATTCCCTAGCCTCAATGGCACACGTGGGTGTCCCTAAAGTCCTCTTCATGAGTTCTTTGTGAATATACAAAGACTGTGTCTGCCGGTGAGTCAGCAAGAGAAAAGACACATCCGTTACACTGGAGACGAGCACGGCACCTCTGTGTTTACTGCTTCTACAGCAAAAGACAGCTTGGCCTTTATCTAGCCTTTAAGTGCCAAGTGGAAAATTCCTAGAAACTAGGTGAATATTAAAAGATTAGCATTCTCACAAAAAAAAAAAAATCAGAAAATACCACATTTTTAAATGCTTAAACACGCACGGACAGAAAACATCTCTCTGTGCTACAATAAACCACGGCTTTAATGACCCCACCCGCCGAAAACCCCTGGTCTTGGCACAGATTTATACACTTAGAATAACAAATATCCCCAGGGGCAGGGAAGAGAGCAGGTAGGAGAGGGGGAGGTTAGAATAACAAATATCCCCCGGGGCAGGGAAGAGAGCAGGTAGGAGAGGGGGAGGTTTGGTTTGTTTGCTGTTTCTGCATGCTCACAGAACAACAGAGCACCCGTGGCCCAGGCAGACCCACAGCCAAGTGTCGAGGGACAGGACTGCACAGTGTGGCACAGGGGAGAGACGGGGTGAGAAAACATTAACCAGTGCAATGGAAATAAAAATCACGTTGTAATGAAGTCAACAACTTCCACTATAAAGGAAACCACAAAAGTCCCTCCATGTGCTTCATGGAACTGCCTGGAACTTGGGTGAGGATAGTGGTATCTGTGTCCCAGCTGCCAGCCCCATCCTCTCTGCTCGGTCACAACCCAGAGTGGCAGAGAGGGAAGGCAATTCTGCACAGCACAGTAATTCAAAGGTGTAAGTTCTACCCCTGGATTGTGTTAGTTCAGAAGTATTGCTCTTTAAATAAAGGTGCTGATGTTACTGCTGCTTAAGCAATAAAACAAAAGAACACAAAATTAATATCAACTAGCAGAATATCGAGTCATCTTTGTCCTCAAAATGGAATTAGAAAAAGCAGAGCAAGCAGAAATGAAATTGAATTATGTAAGTGGTTCCTCATTTTTTGTGCTCTTCTGGCTTTAACTTCCCTAAAGAGACAGAGTTGATTTTCAGTGCTATACTACTTTTATACTGCCTTTTTAAAGAGTTATTAGAAATGACACTCACAAAACCTGTGTAAAAGACCTTTTTCCCCCCTTCTAATTCTGTTCCATGACAAGGGCTGTAACAGTTTTAGAGCATTTTCTACAAAGGACATTTCTGCTGTTGGAGGTAGAAGAAAGAAGCTTTAAGGAAAATAGAAAAATGGGATTAGAAAACCATAGACACTGACAAGAGTCAGCACCCAATTTTTATTTTTTTTTTCTTTTCTTAGAACAGACTAGGATTTCATATTGGCAGTGACCACTGATGCTGGTACTGGCGCCTCTACATTAACCTTGCATCTGTTGTAAATTGTTCAGGCATCTGCTTTCTTCCATGATAACAAGATTCATTGGATTTTTTGGTTTGGAAGCAAAATTAAAACCAGACTGGGCACAGGACATATTATTAATGATATAATTCATTTTAACAGTCACCATTCTGCTTCAGTTTTGCAATTTCTCTTTTCCAAATGCAACATAAGATGCTAAACCAAAACTTTATAAGGAAATTACTAAAACACACTGCCTCTCCAGACACGTTCCGATACCAAAGATTTCATGGAGGAATTGTATGGGAGTCCATTCACTCACTTGTGTTCCAAGGATCAATTACAATGTGCAGTTCAGCTGGTGGTATTTATCCTGTTATGGTCTTAGTATCTACTGGACTTGTTCACATTAACTAGTTCCTTTTCATGCCAATGCAAAAAAAGAGTATCATCCAGTTTCCTCCAAAATAAACAAATGGTTACTCTGGCTTTTGTAGGAGTTAACAGTTCAGTTTATCAAAAAGCCAGGAAGGACCTGCTTGACAATTTGGTTGAATACTGTAAAATAATACTTCAAATGCCTTTGTGGCCACCTTTACTGCAAGATGTCTGGCCAGAGTGGAATTTTGTCTCTGAACAAACCCAATAGTGCGGAGACAATATTCAGAGCAAATGAAATTCTTCACTGTCCAAAGCCAAGCACCCGTTGCACTGTCCTGTCCCGCTGGCTCCCTGCACGACCTGGACAAAAGTTGCTTCACTGATGTGTTTCTGCACAAATCAAATGTTCTTCTGTGTAGAGGACATTCTCCCTCTACATCCTCCTAATTTCTGTGGTAACACCACAATTTGGTATTCCTAACATCACTGCTCATGCTCCTCAGCAAAATTCAGAGGCTTTTGGATTTGGCAGGGGGATGGAGAGGAATTGAGAAAAGGAAATCTTATAAAACTTAATACGGTAAAAGCAGAATTAACAGTATTATGTGGCTGTCCTGAATACAAAGTGGGTCATATCAACCACATCAGCTCAAACAAATGCCAACCACTCATTTTTCATCTAATAAATCAACAGCATTTGGTGGGGGTGGCTCTTGATTTATTTTTTTTGCCTGGTTAGAATTATCTTATTTTTGAAGGTCATACGGCATTTTCATGATCTTTTAGTCTGACCATTTGTGTAACAGATCACCAAGGACCTATGAAATGTGAACTTGACAAAGTTTTCAAATCAGCCAGAGGAAGCTTCCAGAGCTCTGCAGCCTCTCCTACGCCGTATCTCTACGTGAACCAAGGGGCCTGAATTTGTCCCTCTGGAAAAAGAGAGGATGATCTGAACATTGGCCTCCAACTCTGGGGGATGAGTCAGGCAGGAAAAGTATTTACATACAAACATCCTCGTAGCTACCAAGGGAAGGAAATGAAATAGAAAGAGAACACAGTGAAAGGTTTAAATGACGATTTAGCAATAGCCTTTCCTTGCACATTTTTAATGAACGTGTCAGCAGAAATTTGAGCAACTTCAGAGAAGAACTATAGGAAATTTTTCTCATTATTTCACCTTTCACACAATCCACTTAAAACCAATATGGTTGGCAGAATTTGTAAGACTCATTTGGACTTCTCAGTTCATACATAAAATAATGGCCTTTCTTTAGGAAATAATTAAAAGCAATTAGTCATAATCGCTTATAGGGCCAAATACTCACGAAACAACAATTTGCACATTTGAGATATAAACTTGTGAAGTCCTCAGGGGAACTACAAACTAGTATTTTTAGATGAAGTTAGAAATATTTAGCACTATTTTCAGCATTCTCTTCCGTGAATGGCACTATGGAGCACTGGATGGGGACACAAAGCCTCCCCTTCAGCAGTCCCTCGCTCTCCAAAGTGTCTCAGACCCTCTATGAAGCCCACGGCCTGGTGGTGCCACCAGGACACCCCCTGCCCAGCACACCCCCAGCTTTGCTGCTGCAGAACCAGAATTGAAAGACCATCTCCCCCCACAAAAGCCACCGATTAGACGCTCTGAGCCAAACTGCAACTGGGGGAAGGAGGTACATTTACAGAACCTGCCTTTGGACAACTTAGAAACTTCCCGCTTCCCCAGTGAAAACCACCAGAAATGTGACTTTTGGGGGTTCTGAATGTCCTATTAAATGGCAATTCCTTAGCAGAGAACTGAAAGCCACTCATATAACAGATTATTTTTTTTAAAAAGTACTGTCTGCAACCAGATGAGAGAAAATACTGTTTACAGTGCTGTTCTCAATTCTCAGTAACTAACCACTGACGTTCCCCACTGAAATCATCCCTACTTTTATCCAGCTCCAGCCCTCTGCCCTAAATGTCAGTGCAGTCCCTGGAGCAGAATTTAGGCTTTTTAAAGTAGTCACTTCCTTGCTGTTACAGCCTGCTCTAAAAAATGCTTTAAAAGACTGAACACTTGTGTCTCCTTCCTGTAATTTTTATAGGAGGAAATAATTCTAAGGACCTTAACCTAGGAGCCAAAGCCATGCTATGCCAGCAACTTCTCTGCACAACTGTGCTGTGTGTGAGCTTCTGGAAAGATAAAGTCTTTTTTTTTGTTTGAAAAATGGAAAATTTTATCTCAGGGACCTGCCATTTTACTTACTGCTTATGAAGACCACCAATGAGCGTGTTTAATTCAACACAAACACTTCCCCCTTTAGTTTACCAACACAGCAACAGCTGGTGTCAAGGACAGGACCAGAGCAGCTGAACTGGGAAAACTCATGGCACAATTCCTACTCCATCAGCAAAGGAGACAGGGACACTGTGTTTCTAACAGCAGTGATGTGTCACTGAATGTTGATCCAGTGTGTTCTAGACGCAGGTGAGTCCCCAAGGTCAGCCAAGGAGGATTTCAGCTTCTCAGCACTGTACAGTGCACAGACCAGCACCTAACACACCACATCTCAGCTGAAAACCCAAACATGAATCCCTCTAAACATCTCATCTGTGTTCTGGAGCTCACATGTGAGACTGAGAAAGCTTTTGCAGACAGAATATCATTTTAAACTGTGTGCATCATAGCACTGGGAATTGAAAGTCAGTTCAGAAACCAGCAAAATCTGTGGACTTAACGGGAAATGCCCAGAAAAAGATGCATTAGCCTGAAGTTCTGTGTAGGGAGGGCTATAAGGACATGCCAAAGATGGAACTTGAATTTCTTTTCCTAGCATTGCAATGGTTCATCACATGTTTATCAAACTCTTAGTTAATTAGGAAAGAAAAAAGTTAAAGATCATGGCAGGATTTTAAATTCTTCTATTGACACTCAAAAAGCTGTTCAAGCCACAGCATCTGCTCAAGTAGGTCCAAACGCAGACGTGATAAACAAAATTGTTGGGAAGCAGGTTCTCTACAGGTAACAAATAAAACATTCCTATCTTATTCAAACTGAGTCTCCACCGATACAGCAGCCCTGGTTTAGAGCACACACGTGCCATAAACCACCTAGAATCAGTTCATCTTTCCCATCTCATCTGTTTTCCAGGGAAACACCTGAACATGCACCAACAGAATGGTGCTCCTCCGAACCTGCTCTGCCACAGACATACCCAAGGCTACTCCATTAATGACTTTTGACTTCTGCATGGCTATTACTTAATGCTCAGCTCTTCTTTGGACAATCCCTCCTCCCCCAAAACACCAAATGGGTAATTTCCATCAGCAACTGCACTTTTTGTGGTTTCATTGTGGGGTTTTTGACTACAAATGGCTTTATAGGTTGGGATTCTTTGGATTTGTCTGCATGTTATGATCAAACACAATGGATTCATTCACAAAACAAAGCAAGTTTTTACATAACAGAACGTGCAATAAAAGCGCAAGAAAGAAAGAAAAGAGAAAGAAAGAAAGAAAGAGAGAGAGAGAGGTATCCAGAGGAGAACTTACCCCGCGCTTTAGGCTCCTGAAGCAGTGGATTTTGGGTTTGGAGGTCATGAACTCGTTGAAGCGATGGGAGAGGGGTTCCTTTTGCTGCTTGGGAGACTGGGGGCCGTTGGGAACAGCAGAGGGTGAGGCAGAGGCAGGGGGAGGAGGAGGGGGCTGATGGGGGGATGTTAAAAGGGACATAAGCTACGTATAAGAGATGGAGAAGTGACAGAATAAAAACCAAAATAAAAAGATAAAACACAAAACGAAAATAAGCATCAAAACCGATATTTGAAATCCAGAGAAAAAAAAACCAATTAAACAATTAAAATATTAAAGGCCATGGTTCAAAAGAGAGGGGGAAAGCAGTATTTAAGAGTTGTGTTAAATGAAGGATGTGATAAATGGAAGTTTTAGTAAGTGATGCAACAGAAGAGTAACACAAAGTAGTTTGACAGGAGGCTCATGCAGACTCTTCCATGCAGGCTATCCCCATCGATTGCCCTGCTCTGCTCTGTGGACAGCTCAGAATAATGCATATGGATAGAGCTTTCAAATACCTGAATTTAAATGGATCAGATAAGGAAGGTACCTTAGTGCCCAGTAGCGTTTCTATTATCTGGAAAACAACAAACCACATTCCTTCCTGCTTTCAAATCATACCTCAGCAATGCGCATCACACTTCACTTTTACAAATTATGCTACCAATTTGCTCAGGAGTTAGTCCTGTTTGATTGTGGTTTTTTTTCTGGCTACACTGATGTAAGCACCAGACAGCCGTGTTCTCTCCAGGAATGATCCATTTTGAACAGGTAGATTTTTTTGACTCTCATTAGTAGAAGAGGTTTGGTAGGGTCAGAGCAAGGGTGAGATCAAAACAAAGCTGCTCTGGGCTTCCATCAGTGTTACTGAAAACCGATTTAGTCCAGTCACCCTGACACATTCTGGTAACCCCAGATAGATGTCGCCATGCATTATGGTGTAAAATATGACAGTGAAATGAAAAAGGTTTAATGGATACATAAGTTAATATGGTCTTTTTTTAAAAAGTCAACCGCTCAGTTAGTTCTGCTCTGTTAGTTGTGCTTAAGAAGAATGAATCGCAGCAATTCCCTGTTCCCAGCCACCCAACTGCCGAACCCAGTGGACAGACTGAAAAGATAATGCAAATGAAAAGCCAAGGAGAGTTTTAGAAGTGTCAAAACAGTGATGCCACATTAAAGCTTCCCAACAGTAACAACGTTAGTTAGCACACATGGCACTAGGTAAGTGGTGTAACAATTCTCTCTCCGAGTTAGGAACAGAAATGGACCATGGCAGAGACGTGACAACTAAAGTTAAATTAATATAAAAATCATAACATAATTAAAGAAATTATACAAGACAAAAAATATTTAAAGATAGAAAGAAATTTAAGTAACCAAAGACTACAACAAAACACTGTATTAAGACGTCAGTTATTAACTTTCTGAATCTAAAATTCTTTTAAAAAAATTGTAATTGCCAGGATTACTAGACACGACAGAGGTTACTGACTATACACACATTAGCACCACGCTCAAGTTCGCAAGTCAGTACCTTATTTTTCTTGATGAATGGCCATAACTTGCCCTTGGACTTGCTACCAAACTTGGGCTCAGACTTCCCGTCCCCTCTCGAGTTGGAAAGGCTGGATTCCGAGACCGTTCGCTTCATGGGCTGCGTGAAGTCCTCAAACTCCACATCTCCCGGAGGCTCGAACCCTGACTTAAAGGCTTCTATTACCATCTGTGAATCCTGAAATGGGACAGATCCAGTATAAGTATCAACAACTCTGATGAGGGCTATCATCAAATTGGTGCCATAGAAAAACAGTGCAAGGACCAGAAAGTTTGTCTCTGAGGGAACCAGCATAGACCAGTCTCATTCCTGGGAACAAACACCCTCCCAGATCCTGAGCTAAAGAAAAGTCTCTCACCTTTTGCTTCAAGATCAGGGCACTTTTCTTTGACCTATTTTCACTACCATGATGTGCTTTAGAAAACCCACCATGGCACAGCATAGTATCTCACCAAAACAAGGCACTCTAGTGTGTAAAATTAAATACTCCCAGACACTGAAGTGATAAATGGCAGTTAAGAACACAATAACCACCCCACACAGAATAAAACTTTCCAACACCTGTGTCAGTCAGTCATAATAGATCTCAAACAAACCGTCTATGGAAATAAAGCAGGTGAGCTTTAGTCTCAAATATTCCATTATTCCCGTTATTAAACTGTAGCCTATTTTGTGAAGGTATCATTCAGACCACTCATTATTCAAAATGCCAACAGATAAAAGCAGAGGACTATGGTCTATTTAGGAAAATAAAACCCACAGAACTATCATTAAAGCATAGGTCATTGTAGGTAACTAAAGGTGATGCTCAGGAAGAGTAAACTCAGGCTCCTCACTCCAACCTTCTACTGAGCTGCACAACCCCGGAGTCTCACCACAACCCAGCAGTGTTTTCATTCCCTTTTGTTTTGTTTCCAACACAAAACCCAAAATTCTGATACAAACATCTTTTAAGGGTTTTTTCCTGTCTACCGATGAAAATGACATGTTAACTTTACCAATTAGAAAAGCAATCAGACTTCAGTAACTGAACAGATAACTTAAGTGATTTATAAAAATTTAAGGTATAGAATTGCTGGGCATCCGGCTGTAAGCAAACTAGTGGGAAATCCCAATAAATACTCCCACAGAAAGGAGCTCTTGAGCGATCACACTGCCACAAGCTGACAAGTCAGTGCATGGAAACTCAGCTACAGTAAGTGGCAGGGGTTTATCTTATGAGCTTTACCCAAGAACTGAGCAGCCCAAGGTCACACAAGTTGCCCAACACCTTGGACAGGCAGTGGCTGAGAATTCCACACGCTGTCACTAAAGCCACATTCCCTTTTGGCACGACTAGAGGCACTGGAAGCAAGTCAGCCACACACTGGCTGTATACTCTGTACAGTGGGTTTGCTTATTATTTTTTTAACAGAGGGGAAAGGGAAAAAAAGTAAATCAAAGCAAGAATAATTTATAGTATTTTTTCCTAGCTGCAGTGGGTTTGCTTTATTATTATTTTTTTAACGGAGGGGAAAGAAAAAAAAAGTAAATCAAAGCAAGAATAATTTATAGTATTTTTCCTAGCTGGGTCTACAAACACAATAAATTATACATAAGCTCAAATTCAGACTTCAGTTCGCCAAATGCATTTAAATCTAATGGACTCAGAAAAAAAAAGATTTTAACACATTTATCTGCTTGACTTCTTGGGAAGAGAGCTTTTTATGTTATACTTTTCTAACAGTTTTCTTCTAAGATCATTAGCAAAACTGTGCCACGGCACACAAATATCTTATTAGTCTCTAGAGAAAAGCATCACCATCCTGTTCAGATAAAAAAGAAAAACTTGTTGCTTTGAAGGCATTTCACAGATTCTGCTTATGTCCGTAGGTAAAATACTATTCATGAGAAATCCAATGGGATATAAACATATCCAGGGGCCAGGCTCAATTGAGCAAAACACAGATATAGGAAAAGCTTTGCAAAAGTCTTCAGGGGATCGTGAAGAAAATTAAGGTTTAAGATCCTCAAAACTATCAGGTGCTCTGTGAAATTCCAACACAACTTTTAGGGAGGTGGTAGAAAAACACCTTCCATTATCTCATCCTAGTTTAACATTAAAACTTCCTGAGATCTAAACATTTGAAGAGATTTTTAATAATACTCATGAAAGCGAGATGAAGGAGGAAAAGACTACAAACATACACAAGGTTACATTAGATAATCTATGGGTATTTTATCCTATGCATGGAGCTTTTCATTTTTTCCTCTTAATTTTACAGCGTTCCTTCCATTTAGTCAAAACATCCCTTCCACTACAATGGAGCTAAAAATAACCCGCATACTCCATATATCACAGAGATAATGTCATAACAGGAACTCCAAAGTCCATAACAAATTAATTTTATCTGCTGTGAGAGCCTTCTGAAGCAGGTTCCGTGCAGTTTCACCTCGCAGTCACTACAGCTGACCCTTGCAACGTGACCTCTGTGTTGTCCAAGTTGTCAGAAAGAGGACATGATAAAGAAGCCTATTTACAACTGCATTAGAAACATGGGGCTAACCCAGTATTCCCAGCTAAATCCAGAAATTTTCTATAGCTACTAGAGAGAATTCTGTACAGTTCAGTGAGGGCCTAAAACAATCCTATTTACACAGTATCTAAACCTGAAAGACTGACCCATTTTGCAAGTAGGCACGAAGCAGAACTTTGTAATATTTAAAGTGCAAAGAATATAGAAAGTATTCAATATGTCCCATGTGTCATTTTGGTTCTTAACACCATCCAACAAAATAGGGGTCCTGGAATAAAAGCAATCTTCCAGAATCCTGCCAGCATCCACAGAGGGAGGGAGCACGGAGGCAGCCATGGGAAGGAAGCCTGTTAGCAGCCTGCACTTCCACAGTTTCAAAGTCATTACAGAAATACATCCTTCCTTATCATTGTACTACACAATTCTGCTGTTAGAAACCACAGGGTTTCACAGATACCGTAAGAACCCCACCCTCATAGATCAATGCTTGCAATAAACCTACCCAAAGCTGAAAATCTACTACCAAAAAGCTCCAACATACCTACATGGAGTGCAAATTTCTGCTGCTCCTATTTAGTTTTTCCTTTTTAAACAGCAATGCCTTACCATCAGCTGGTAATATTTTACTCACAGCCAAAAAAGCTGCAGAACTTGCAGGTTCTTACATCCTTTCAGCTAGAGCTGACACACAGTTTGGTACACAAGGTAAATTACTAGAATTGAGGTTTCCTCTTATTTATGTCTTATTCTCAGCAATACATGTTCTGTTTTAGTTGTGGTTGCTCCATTTAAAGCTCTGGCTTCTGAACTGAGGTTACTGCACAAATAGCCCTCTTAACCTCCCCCTTTCTTCACTAACTCTGTATGTGAAAAGAAAACCAAAGGATACCAAGAGCTAAGAAAGAACTGCAAATGCAGTACTGCCTTTTGTCAGTGTCACAGAGTCTGACCTTAAAACCAAAGGATACCAAGAGCTAAGAAAAAACTGCAAATGCCTTTTGTCAGTGTCACAGAGTCTGACCTTATACATCTCGAGTTTGGTGATACCCTACGTTTGTTGATGATTACCAGATCCTGGAGATCTCCTCCCAGCTGGGAAACACGTGTCTGTGTGGGCCCAGAGTTTCACACAAAGCTTTTCCTGCTGAGCAGGCTCTTGGTTTTGCTCCCCATTGTACCAGCTGTGTTCTCACCCGCTGTCCTTGCAGGCAGCTTCCCTGGAATCTGACCTCCTTTCCCAAGCTGACTGCAGCACAGGTCACTGTGCTAGTTGACTTTCCTATACAAAGTTTTCCAAACTTGAAAAAGATGAATCAAGGAGACAACCTTGAATTTGAATCTTTCAAGGAAAAGGAGAAACTCTCCCGACGGTAGCCTAAGAGAGCCCAAACCTTCTTACAACATTAAGGGATGAGATGGGAAAGCTTTGCTGTAACACTCTGCATTAGTGGCAAAAGTAGTACATTATCTGGAAATAGAGAAAATACAGCTTTTAAATTGCTCCTTTGTGCACCTATGGCCATCCTTATAAAGTGGCAAGACCTGCACACTACAGAAGGACAGGAACAAAGGTATCATTTTTATCAGAATCAAGAAAAGTTAGAAACTACCATTTCAGACATTAAAAGAAATTTTTGATGATATTTAAGAAAAAAGAACCATTTATGGATGTAACTGCTTTCCAGACAGAACACATTAAACCCTTTGTAATTGTTCAGATAAAACAAATTTGGGTAAATAAACTCTTGCTACCATGGTGTTTACAGGAGATCCCTTAGTTATCAATGCTCAGAGGCACCATTTTCTAACGTCGTACTTGTGTACGAGCCATCAATCTGACTTTTCTGTCTGCAAGAGAGACTAACTCAAATATAAAATTAATACTGACTCAAACACCTTGCTTGAGCCTTGTGTGTGCTTTGCTAAGACCTCACCTGAAGATTCAAGCAGATGTAGACTTAAATATGAGTCTCCCCAACACGATTTCACCCTGCAGCACCAAAAGCTGTACCTCAAGAATGACACATTGTTCTAAGATGGGAATCTGTGCCCAACTCCCCCTTCTCCTACCCCAAAAGAGTCATTTTCAGATTCTTTGGTTCCCGTTGCCGCTCTCTGTGAGAGCAATTGCCGAGCAGAAAGCAGTGGATTCATTTCAAAACTTCAGCCTCGGGCTTATGCTGCCAATTAAGGGCCAGTTCTGGGCACTGAATCGCTCAGAAAAGATTCCAGTGCAAAAGCTGTATGGGAAATTCAAACAGCCAGCAGGACACATGCTGTTTGTATTTGAAGCACTAATGTGATCCATGAGAAGGGCTGAAGGAGCAAGCAGAGACTTCATTTACGAAGGGAACAGATCATTCTGAAAACAAAATCGAAAACACATTTGCCCTCGTGCTAACTGCACATCAGGAAGCACAACGCAACTCTTTATCAGCCTTTTTATCAGGAAGGCTTCATTTTAATCCTACAATGATCTTCAGAAATCAAGATTTGGGAGAGCTTGTTTATGGATTGGTAGCAAACCTCAAATATGCAAAGTAAGATTTCACAGTAAAGTAGAAATTTTGCAAGACTTGTTTGCAATAATTTCTGTAGCAAATACTTTAAATACTTCCATTATTATAAAACTAACTGGAATGAAGACATTTCTGCAACAGTTTTCTGACCATTACACATAGAACCCATCTGAATAAGAACTGGTTATTATTAGGTATCTGGAATTACACCCACCCTCTTCCTTAGTCTATGCAGATGCCTGTTTTTCGAGTACAGTATTTCAGAAAGTAATTATCCTAGTAAAAGGAGAGACTATTCCTAAAAGAGGAGATAAAAAAAAAAAGTGGAGGCATTTCTGGGCATTAAGTAGATTTAGGAAATAATCTGAGCACGTCCTGCCTCAGACAAAGTAGCTTGGGACAAGAAGCCACTCTTTGTTTTATTTCTGTGACTATAAAGCTCTCGTGCTGCAGCCCGGGCCCAGGATTTCAGCCTCCACATCCAAGTGAACAATACTAAAGATGACAATCAACAATCCAAACAATGCAACACTTACACTCTTGTGATCAATGGATTCTGCAGCCTTCGTGATTTCATCCAGACACTTTCCAATGATAGGGATCACCTGGCGGTCAACCTCTGCAAAAGTTTTCATGGATTCACCTATCCTCACGATTCTTCTTTCCTCCATCTCTTGTATTTTCTAAAACAAACATCAAATTTCATTCAGATCAAGTATCAAGATTAACTCCACAGTTTCAACCCATTTTTCTCCCCAGCTGCTTTAAAAGTTATGTTTTAAACATACTTCTAAGAACAAACTAGGACAGCTGTTCTCGTGAAGGCACCAAGGGATATCGTTCCCTCCAACATCAAAACGCCATTCTAAGAGTCATCTCTGTTACTATTACTGGGAATTTTTCAATTAACTTTTTATGTTAAAAACTGCTGATTTGTTAAAACCCCAGATTTAGACTTTTGTAAGGATGGCTCCTAAGGCTTTTAAGAGAATTTCTGCAAGAATACATTCTTTCATTTTCTGTGCATGTTCCGAAAGATCCCATTTTCATTCCCTTGCAAAATCTAAGCAAACAAAAATAGTGCTCTCTCCCCTTCTCCTTTTCCTTAGAAGGTAATTTTTGCTTTACAGGCAGCCCTATACACCATGTATTGTTCACACTAGGGCTTCTCAACACATGCTCCCTGTTGCTCAATGGATTCAGTGCCACGATCACCAGCATTTGTTCCATGGGCCTCTCGTTTTCAACAGAGGAAGCTGGAGGTGGTATAACGCTATTAGGGCAGATTATAACAGGATGCAGAAGGGCATGAACAGGAAGGGCCTGTTTCGCATTAGAGCACAGCAATCTTATGAAGCATTGTCAGCTTAAAATTCCCCATTGCCTTAGCTGATCTACAAGCAACATGAACTCTTTACAAAACATCTTATTTCAACATCTCAAAGGAAGCGCTAGTGCTTACTGGTGCACTGGTGGTGAAAAGGATACACCTACAAATCACAGCACTTACCACATCTAGCATTAAGTACAAATATATTGCAAAAGTTTCCTATCTGATGCCAGGGATATTTTATCTCAAGACATTGGTTTGACATAACCATGAAGCAAGAGTCCATTTAGCTAAGAAGTTCCAGCTAGGGATAAGAAAATGCGTATCTGCGATGCAAATATCAGTTATTTCTCATCAGATGATAAGCATGTGACATTTTCTCCCTTAAAGAGGTTGTATTTTCCACTTCTGATGCTTATGACAATGGAACAGTCATTTAGAACTTCTGTTCTACTACATTAATCTCTCTTCGATCAGTCAAGCACAAACTCAGATCTTCAGCCAGTATAAATTTGATGGCTTTTTTGTTCTTTCTCTACAGTCTTTCTTTAGGCACCCTAAGACATAATGAGCAAGGTTGCTTCAACCTTTTGACATTCACTACTATGGAATTATTGTGGTTTAAATTTAAACGTCTGTGAAGTCCAGTGTGAAGACAGGTTATGAAGGGCTGTGAGGCTCTACAGATGCAACGATGCCCAGCTGACTACTGCCCCAACAATGCAAATAATGCTCTCATCCCCCAGCTGCACAGACACAGGAGTTTAACAGAGGAAGATTGTGAGGATTCCAAAGACTATCGTCATCTGTCATGACAATGCACGTCACCTTCCTCATACATCATCACTTTTTATCGAGTCTAAGATAAAAGGACAATTTATCCATCTCTTGTGTTGGCAAACGGCATATAAAATTTCCTAACAGTGACAAAAGTCACAAAAAGTGAAAGATCAGGAGATGACGAGCTGCTGGAGGTGAGTTAGTCTAAGATAAAAGGACAATTTATCCTACCAAGTTCTCCATCTCTTCTGTTGGCAGACTGCATATAAAATCTGCTAACAGTGACAAAAGTCACCAAGAAGTGAAAGACAGGGTCACAGAACTGAAGCGATGTGCAATATGCTCCTCTGTTCTTATCAGGAGATGACGAGCTGCTGGAGGTGAGTGCCAGACCCTTACCTGGAAGATGTTTGGGATGTGTGTGTAGTAATGGTCATGCTGCTCGCTGTTGAACTTCTGTAGAGTAGAAGAATATTCGGCTTTGCTGTCTTCTGCCATTTGATGTCGTAGCTGAGCTTGCTGTCTTGCCTAAAGAAATGCCAAAAGAAATTTATAGGTTACACTAAGGGAAAGAAACTGTGTTGTGTTACTACAAATAGCAGCACAAGAAGCTGCATATCACTCTCTGAACGCTTCAGCTGTTGGTTTAGTCCTATTTTGTGACACAGTTCATGCACGTCAAGCACAATCCTGCAGTGTGCACACTGCTGCTGGTCTTTTCTTGTAGTACAACGTGCTATTTCCATGAGCCATTTTGCATTCCACAAACAACCTCTGTTTGCACTGCATGTAAAACACTGGAACAAGTTTGCCCCTTTACTAGCCCACTTAATGGGCGCACATTTTCCGCATGGTGGTGGACACTCTTCTTGCTCCACCTTATGCCCTGTTGGATGGCACCTGCTTTTCTCTAATGAACGATTTACCTGTTGACTAGCTGTATTCTGGGGGGGGAAAGGGAAGTGACAAAAAAAACCCAAACAACTGACATGGTTTTGTCTCATTCCACATGCCTTGGCCAACATAATCATGACAAAACATCTTAACTCGTGCTCCCGCTGCGCTCTCTGCAAAGTCCTTTATCTCCAGTTCCTAGAATAGTGCTGGCATGAAGTGCACAAGGAAAGGGGAGCCTGAGCAGCAGCTGAGACACGACTCCCTTCCTATTTTTACCCACACAGATTATTTGCTTTGCTACCCAGCATAGCAGAGCACTGGGCAATTACCCTCGCTTCTTTCCCTAGAAAAATCTGTCCCCAAGTGACCCTCTTATATTTTCAGATTCCTCCTCTTACAATTCTGCTTCCTAAGGCCTTCTGTTATCTGTTTCACTGCCCAGTATTACTCCCTTACTGCTTCTCCCATCTGTTTATTTTAGTTGCCTTTTCCTTCCTTGCTGTTGGCCTTCATATGGCAACTCTTCCTTCTCTTCCCTTCTTATCCAGCCCCACTCGCTGAAGCTCCTCTCTCTCTCCCAGCCTTCACCTGGTGGGAGCTCGGCTGCTCCCCCTGCTCCCTTGTATGTGCATATTATTTACATACATATTTATATTTAGCATATTTTAAGTGGGCTCCCATTAAAAAACAGTTCAGATGAGATTATTCTTTGAACTGTTCCAAGCAGACAATAGTTTCCTGACAATAAATCCATGAAATACCAAATCATGGAACGTTTTAGTAATCATAACTGGAAGGTAACAAATTCTGCCAGAAGGTTTCAAATCTCAATTTGCAAAGGAATAGGCTTCCTTCCCATTTGTCCAGCTCGCACATCTCACCTAATAATTTATTTCACCTCAAGTCTGTTATTTCTTTTGCAAACACAGTCCATTGCAGGAATTTCCTAGATCCCCTTCACATTCTTTCTACAAAAATAATTCAAGTACAATGAGAAAATGCTTTGGCACCAAGTGCATAATAGGAGATGAAACAGTAGCATCAAATGGAAAAGACTGTGACTAAAAGCAAATAAATAAATCAAAAGACAGACTTTCAACTTTGCTTGTTCTCCAGGGGTTTTAACTGTCCACTAACCCCTGTAAAGGATGCACATACCACTTCAGAAAATCCACCTCCTGAAATTCCAAGAAGCGATATCAATCATTTTTTAAAGTGCTATATAGCTTATTAAACTTTATCATCCACACACTCCTATACAGCTACATTAAATATGAGCGGAAAACAATATAGCCTTGTACTACAAATGCAAATTTACGAGCAAAACAAGGTCAGCCCTGGAAAGGGGACAGCTGTAGGAGTAACGTACGCCTGGCTCCCAACCCCTTCCTCAAGTCCCAGCTGCTACAGATCAATATCCATTTGTGAGGCCCCTTCTTATCATCTACCGAAGAGCAACCCATTGTCTGAGCTGACTCCTACAACATCCCAGTTCCACTCATACAGCTGTCTCTTCTTTTTCTTTTTTTTTTTTAAGTGCCAGACCCTTACCTGGAAGATGTTTGGGATGTGTGTGTAGTAATGGTCATGCTGCTCGCTGTTGAACTTCTGTAGAGTAGAAGAATATTCGGCTTTGCTGTCTTCTGCCATTTGATGTCGTAGCTGAGCTTGCTGTCTTGCCTAAAGAAATGCCAAAAGAAATTTATAGGTTACACTAAGGGAAAGAAACTGTGTTGTGTTACTCCTCATCCTACTATCCTTACAAATAGCAGCACAAGAAGCTGCGTATCGCTCTCTGAACGCTTCAGCTGTTGGTTTAGTCCTATTTTGTGACACAGTTCATGCACGTCAAGCACAATCCTGCAGTGTGCACACTGCTGCTGGTCTTTTCTTGTAGTACAACGTGCTATTTCCATGAGCCATTTTGCATTCCACAAACAACCTCTGTTTGCACTGCATGTAAAACACTGGAACAAGTTTGCCCCTTTACTAGCCCACTTAATGGGCGCACATTTTCCGCATGGTGGTGGACACTCTTCTTGCTCCACCTTATGCCCTGTTGGATGGCACCTGCTTTTCTCTAATGAACGATTTACCTGTTGACTAGGTGTATTCTGGGGGGGGAAAGGGAAGTGACAAAAAAAACCCAAACAACTGACATGGTTTTGTCTCATTCCACATGCCTTGGCCAACATAATCATGACAAAACATCTTAACTCGCGCTCCCGCTGCGCTCTCTGCAAAGTCCTTTATCTCCAGTTCCTAGAATAGTGCTGGCATGAAGTGCACAAGGAAAGGGGAGCCTGAGCAGCAGCTGAGACACGACTCCCTTCCTATTTTTACCCACACAGATTATTTGCTTTGCTACCCAGCATAGCAGAGCACTGGGCAATTACCCTCACTTCTTTCCCTAGAACAATCTGTCCCCAAGTGACCCTCTTATATTTTCAGATTCCTCCTCTTACAATTCTGCTTCCTAAGGCCTTCTGTTATCTGTTTCACTGCCCAGTATTACTCCCTTACTGCTTCTCCCATCTGTTTATTTTAGTTGCCTTTTCCTTCCTTGCTGTTGGCCTTCATATGGCAACTCTTCCTTCTCTTCCCTTCTTATCCAGCCCCACTCGCTGAAGCTCCTCTCTCTCTCCCAGCCTTCACCTGGTGGGAGCTCGGCTGCTCCCCCTGCTCCCTTGTATGTGCATATTATTTACATACATATTTATATTTAGCATATTTTAAGTGGGCTCCCATTAAAAAACAGTTCAGATGAGATTATTCTTTGAACTGTTCCAAGCAGACAATAGTTTCCTGACAATAAATCCATGAAATACCAAATCATGGAACGTTTTAGTAATCATAACTGGAAGGTAACAAATTCTGCCAGAAGGTTTCAAATCTCAATTTGCAAAGGAATAGGCTTCCTTCCCATTTGTCCAGCTCGCACATCTCACCTAATAATTTATTTCACCTCAAGTCTGTTATTTCTTTTGCAAACACAGTCCATTGCAGGAATTTCCTAGATCCCCTTCACATTCTTTCTACAAAAATAATTCAAGTACAATGAGAAAATGCTTTGGCACCAAGTGCATAATAGGAGATGAAACAGTAGCATCAAATGGAAAAGACTGTGACTAAAAGCAAATAAATAAATCAAAAGACAGACTTTCAACTTTGCTTGTTCTCCAGGGGTTTTAACTGTCCACTAACCCCTGTAAAGGATGCACATACCACTTCAGAAAATCCACCTCCTGAAATTCCAAGAAGCGATATCAATCATTTTTTAAAGTGCTATATAGCTTATTAAACTTTATCATCCATTTTTTTTTTTTTTTTTAATTTTTTTTTTTTTTTTTAAATAGCACAACTCAGGAATTTGTCCCTTGACTCTTATTGTTGAAGCAGAAAAACAAGAAATCCATTATTACCCATTTCCAGGCAGACCCAGCAAACATTAAGCCAGAGTCCATTTCCATGGGCTGGGTGTGAGCAAAGTAACTCCGAGCAGGATGTACACAGGAGTCGATGCTCCGTTTCCAAAATGATCTTAACTGGCCCCAAATAAAAGGGGGCAGCAGATGAGTAAGTAAAACTGGGCACGTTCCAAAAACCAAGAATTTTTGTCTGAGCGCCCCAGTGATGTTTTCTTTCTCCTGGCCATTTAATGCATTTGGCAAGCTTCAAACAGTTTAAATATTTTTCCAATGAGGTATTTTGGTTCTTAAAATAAAAATATATAAAAAAAGTCTAGATTTTTTTTTATTACTTCATTTTAGTATGTCATTTACTCTAACATTATTGCTTCTAGTATTAACAGAATTATATTTTATAGCTAGGTTCCTGTTCTCTGCTGAAGCACAGGCTGATAAAAAGGAGTTGATGACGTTAAGTTCCACATTCAGAGTAATGGATGCAGTGGCCTGGAGCTGCACAGAGTCAGAGGAGCTATTTCAGGAGTAATTTATAGTTCAGCTTTACAGAAAATAAATTTTTGCCTTCTTTACTGCTCACTTGAGCATGCAAACAGCTTTAGAGAAGGGGTTTTGGGGGCTTCTTAGAGTTAATGTTAAAATATTTGCTCTGAACAGTATTTTCAGGAGGAAAGGCTTTGGAAATCATGGTCTCTGGAAAAGCAGACCATGACTTCAGATATAAGAGGATGATGCTGTGATGCAGCTTTCAGTCAACAATCCTCTTTCCTTTAACTGGGCAGGGATGCCTGAGGAAGAGCTCATGTTTGCAGCCCCACATGTGAAACCACAATCCAGATCTACAGATGGCCGGGTTACTCGGCTGTAAGAGATGTCAAGGTTAGGTAGTCATAATGTAACAAAAGATTCCCTCCCCATCTTGAAAGGAAGAAGGAATGAGGTCACCTTTTAGCATCATGAAAAAGCAGAAAAGGGTATATAGATGTGAGGGATTTGTGGGGAGAAAAGCAGTTTGCTTGCAGATATGTGCTTCTGCACACATTTGCAAAAAAAAAAACCACAGATTTTGCACCCTTCCTCCCAGAACATACCTTTGGAACATCATTTTGTCCCCAAAGAAAGGTGCACACTGTGTAGACGTATTGCCCCTTCTCCCAAGCCTGGTTTTAAGGCAGTTCTTCTCTGAACTCACAGGGCAGCAACAAAACCAAAAGGTCACAGGTGCCAATGCCAGTCTCATCAAGAAAAGCACTGCCCAGGATGAACGAGAGCCCAGGATCTGCAGCACCATTAACCTCAAACTTCAGGCTTCCACTGCCACAGCAATTGGCTTTATACACAGTCCCACCAGAGGAGTGTTTTCTATAACTAACTCTGAAAGAGAACTCTAGGTGAAGGAAGTGCAGCTCTGATATACTGAACTAATTAAAAGCACACTAGCAGCAGGTAAGGTTTATTGTGTTCTGACCTCTTCTCTCACAGAATTGCCATTAAACATAATCAAACCCAAACTTTTTTCCTTCCTTTAGACAGGCTTGCTAGCTGATGGGGGAGAATGCAGGGCAGCAGCTAACTGCAGGGCAGTAATATCTTTCAAAGTGCTGAACTGTGGCTGTCTTCAGTGCTTTTAAAAAAAAATATT